TACATATAAGAAGTAACCGGGGTCCAAATCTATACAACGCGTAATCACGACCTTGACGTGCTGTGGCCGGCGAGCGATGGCAATGTGGCGCTAAAGCTCAGTGCACGTGCTCTTCACGGAGATTTTCTTAACCTGTCCGAAAAGAAAACCGTTCTCACGCTTTCTGCAGAGGTTATCTTCTTCTGAAATGTCTGCAGAATCCAATGGTGCGTAGCAAATTCGTGCTAGCCAACCCACTTTTCGTAAAAATGTAACAGTATTGTGTACAAAGTACGCGCATCTACCCATTTTTAAACTTTAATCATCATTTACAAACATTTAATGATATGCAAAATTTTTCGAAATCCTCACGTAATACTTGTTTCTTTAAAAAATTCGACCGTTTTGACAAAAACCCATGTTTTTCGAAAACTGAGGGTGACCCAGCACTTTGATTTTCGAATTCGTATTTAGGGCAAGAAGCTCTATAAGGATCATCTAGTGACTATTACAAAACGCTAAAAAAGTTCAAATTTATTGGACAGTGTTATGAATGAAAAACAAATATTATAAACATGGTTGAATTTGCCTTGAAAAACACAATAAACTGATAATAATGAAAATACGTAGTTCCATTTTAAAAAATTGCATTGACTTTGACATCTCCCTAAATAACAAAGTAAAAACAAAATCGAAACAACTTACTAAACGCTACCCATTAGGTCGAACAACTATTATCTGAAACATTTTTTCGTATTTTCAATAATTCTGAAAATATTCGAGTGTACACGAATAAAATGGACATACTGTATAATTTTAATAGTATATAATATAAATCTAATTAATAACAGTGTTCTCTAAATAATTAAGAGAAATATTTATTTACGTACATTATTCTCTTACGTATAGTATTTTCTTTATGAAGTAACATTCATCAATATACACAAATTCTTAGGTTATTATGTATGCTCGAAGTATTATATTAAAACATAATATTAAAAGAGAACACTGAATTACAAATTGCAGAAGAAGGAAGCAAAACCATTCTTCCGTGCGAAAGAAGATTTATTTAATTGCCCAAAATATTTGATTGTAGTCTGTACTGTAATTGGACCAGGTAATTATCTGACTATAACTCTTTGATTATAATCAAAGCATTATTATCGTACGAAATAATTTTTTAATTATGTTTCACTGCATTAACAATAATTTCATTGTCACAGCATTTCTTTGAACTGCGTCTGGCTTTTATACATATCAAATTTCCTTCTGTTTTTCTTTTTTTCTGTTCCACATTCATTAACTTGTAATTAATTGTTTCATATTACAAAGTCGTAAAAATATTATGTAAACCAATAAAATACATTTAAAATGACTCAAAATTGATATAATAGGTTTAAACATAGTTTAATATTATTAAAGGCTTAGAATAAAAACATAAAATGATAATTAACTGGCAGTGTTTACTGCTTACGTAAATAGGTACTCGTATACGGACTAACATGGATATTCGTAATCGTGCTTACCTTATTGTTGGGGTAAGTGCCATCCTTATCGATAGCGTTGACTTGAGTAACTTTACTGCCGATTGGTTCACCCTCCAGTACAGTTTCTTGCTCACGTTCGGTGAACAAAGGTATTTCGTCGTTAACGTCCTCCAGGACAATGTAGATGGTCGCTTCAGAGGCAAGTTGTTGGGCGCCATTGTTCTGCAACGGAGAATAGCTTTTATCACCACCGTATACCCTGTTTTTCCTCCAATTCCATGACTTTTATTGTAAACCTAACCATAATTATTTATCGTCAACAATATCGATTTTTCGTACTTATAACTGAAAATCACTGCAATAGAACAATATCGAATGCAAATTCATTGTTAATGTTTCCGAGGTAATACCTCTGAAAATACAAGTGCCTTGTTTAATACAAATGGTTGTAGCAGTTTATGTTCTGAAATTACGCCAAGCATAGGATTTCACAAAATAAAACGTGCAAGAGTTGCGCAGGTTATGTGCTGGAATCTGCAATTATATTTTACCTGCTGTTTTTTTATGTATATATTTGTTTCACTTTTTGTATTCACGTATTATTTAATCCTCTAGAATTTTAAAATTAATAAGTGTAAGATTTGAATGAATTTTGTTTATTTCATAATTTTAATGAATTTTGTTTCAATTTCGAAGAGTAGAACTTAATTAAAAATACCTGGATATATTGTGTTAATCATTTTGCTATTGTTCAGAAATAAAATACACTATCTTTAGTAAATTAAGGTTAGTTATTCATTGAAACATCTACTAATTCAGCTTCCCCATGAATTGATGAATTTGTTACTAGCACTTTGGTCTACAGTTGCACGTGTTATTCTCTAATTTGTTCTCATCATTATTTGGTATTATACACTTATTTGTATTGCTTCGATTAATATTTTACGAAAAGAAGTGGTACCAAATTAAACAATATTGCAGAATTCTATCAAAAGGCAGAATAAACTTTTTATACTACTTTCTAATTCTATACTCGTATAATTGTTCAGTTGTGCCAAATTAAATGATATTTTTGAGGTGCATTTAATTCCGTTCTACTTGTAGATCAAGAAGTTAAATACGCGACCTTAAACTTTTGACCAACTTTTTGATTGAGTGAAATACATTTTGGAAGGACTTTATCAAGCAATTTGAAGATGACATATTTTTATTAATAGGCAAACACTAACAATAGACATCGTGAATGGCGTACCTCACGATTTCTCAGTAGTACTTACTACCTCGAATGTACAAAGTGCAGATATTCTAGTACGCCTGCACCACTGAAATATAAATAATACCGTGATTCGTAAGCGGATTTTCAAGTTGCTCCGTTTCTACTTTCTAAAAGGATTAAAGGATGCTGGTTACTTAACCGAGGAAATTGCACACAAAAATGCCCTAGCAAATATATTTGTTGTGAAATTTCTTAAACGTGTCCAATAACGCGTTACTCGTGCTTTGAAAAATAAAAAGCTCCATTCCAACTTTTGTCACGGTTCTTATGTAATACAGATCCTATTATACTTCCTCTTTTATAAAACCTTTTCCGATATTTCTGCATCTTCTTTGCTACTCATGAATAGATTCACCAAGTAAATTCATAAATTCCAACGAAACATATTTCCTGTTTTCAATCCATAAATAGAAATACTTCATTAAAAAAACCGTATAAGTACGTAAATTAAACGAAAATTTTTTATCTTGTTAAGATAAGACATGACCCTTTTATAGCCACTTGGATTCTATTGTTCGAAATTCTTTCAACAGTATGTGTATTGTATTAATCGGATTAACATTAATTCCAAGAAGTAAATATTTGCATAAATTATTTAATAAAAAAATATCTTTGAAATTTAATGATAACTTCAATGTTAATAATTTCTAAGTAAGAAAGAACTGTAATTGATAATAGAGGAATAATATTTAATTTGGACTTGAACGAATTGAGAGACATTTATATTTATTAATTTCTATTTGAAATCTTCGCCTCGAATCTGACACGATATTGTAGGACAAGTAATTAATTATATTAATTACTACATTAATTTAATGTGTCATAAAAATTTACGGATGTATAAAAATGGCTGTAATTTAAAAAGAAGATTAAATTTTGCATACGACAAATTTTTTTTGTTTCTGCTTTCTTGAATAATTGAACAACATATAAATATAAAAAACGTATGCGGCAGCTGTACTAATATAAAATCCAGTATTATTTTAATAAATACTTTAAAACATTGAATCATTAACTAAAACGTTAAATATATTTATAACGAATACCCTCACTATATTTATCACATACCAAACATGATTAACATACGCAATAAAAACACATGTAAAAAACCAACACAGTATAAAAAAATACTTAATAATTTCTCTCTTAAAATATTCGTTTTAAATATATGTAAATAACCATTCTCGATCGAACAGAAAAATCATATTTCACAATAAAAAACCACCGCGTAAATGTTCTTACATGTATATGTATTTACGCACCCATGAACTAAAATTAACAAAAGAAAACAATTTTAATCAACTAAAAATCTATTAGCAGTGCATAAATCTATTTAACGACGGTCAATTTTAGATTTTCCTATCCGATTTTGCACATAGGACATGTATTTCTCGAATTTCATTTGATTAATTTTCCATCCGAGAAATAAAACAAAATGTGTACATCGTTCTTGCCGGAGTATTATGTTTATTAATTTTCGTCCACGAGTATATTTAAAATATCAAGACCAGCATCCTAGGCATCCCGAATTCCCAAATGTACGTTGCACGGAATTATTTCAGCCGCGAAAGTATGGCGAGAAATTTCAGACTGGAGGAAACACGTTCGTTCTAGCGAAATGGCACCTTACATTTCGTGTACGTACCTCTACTCGTATAGTCAGATTGTACTCCTTTATGCTCTCGTAATCCAGAGGATGGTTAACCTTGATGTCGGCCCAGGTGATGGACTTCTCGTTACGTTGTTGAAGGTAAAACGTGTGAAACTTGTTCGTCTGTGCCGTGGATCCGGGCATTAGCCGGTAAAACACCGTCGGATTATTTTCGATCCCCGAGCTGTCGACACACACCAGAGTCACGTGTTACAAAATCCCAGACGGTCGGTGTTCCAGCTCCATTTGCGAGTGGAGTCGACTTAACAAACGGAAACGGGAAACGGAAACAGAAACGAGAACGGAAATCTCCTAGGGTAGACATTATGTATATATCGGAAAATACATGACTAGGAACAAATTTACCGAACTAGAAGAGAGATACTAGAAGTGTAACAAAGGTATACCGTCTCGAGAAACGAAACGTATCACCATGCGATTTACCGACTGTTATCATCCATCTGTCTCTTGCGTTCTTTTCTCTGTATCTTTATTTCTTTTTTTATTTTTTTTTTATTATTACTTCTTTCTCTCTGTTGACGAAATGCCATCTAATCGAACGTCTAAAGACACAACTGGAGATCTACTATACGATTTAGAAATTTTACGCAATTTGCCTAACAACTATACTTCCCGTCATCGCCTGCCTTTTCCGTTTCAGGTGTACATTAGTTTAACTCGTCAATAGAATTCAAATGCGCTACTCCCTCGACCAATCTAAGCGTACCATGATCCCGAAAGATGTTCTGCGAATTGATGTTAATAATATACTACGCAACGTATACATATTTTACGCGATCCAATCACCATACCCCAGCTTGCTAACGGTGAATTTATTAATACTAAACGTACCGACACTTTGTATATACCAATTCCCACCGTAACCAGTCAAATAATTGGTTATAAAATAAAGGCAAACAAGACAAACGAGAAATTCTTCTTGGTGGAAACAAAAACTAAAGAAAAGACAACATTTGCAAAACCGGTTAATCGGACAGTATAAGGTACAATTTTTTATGCAGAGTTAAGTGGGCGAAGGGAAGTGCAGAATTTTAAATCAAATTTTAAAACCGGTGATTTGACCGGTCGCGGTACGCTTAGTGTTAAACGGTGTCTTGTCGCGCTGTGTTAGGATGTTATATTGTAGTCCTATGTCCGTCTCATCGTGTTTAGCAGTTGTGTTATGATAATCAGTTATGAGAAGCATTTCCGTCGAAAAATTGAGAGGTTGCAGAGCAAATGCATTTTCCAGTATTACGAAAACTTGAATATTCGAATATAAATTTAATATTAATATTTTTTTAAATACCTGTAAAATTATGTTATAATTACAGCATTTTCTGTATATAAGCGCATATGTCGGGATATAAAACCTTTTCATAAAATGTAATATCATAGATAAAACTGTTTTATTATTCCTTCTTTCCTCATTATTGCCGTTTCTAGCTTACCATTCTTTTTCTTGAAAGGTTTTTCTTTCGAATTTAATCTATTTAATTATTAAATAAAAATTAATATTATTATATCCTTTACCGTAAGAAATAAATTTTCTACAAACATATTAAAATTATGATATGCTTTTAGATTTGGCATAGTGGAAAATACATATTCTATTAAGTATTGGTAGACCATTTGAATTTTATAAACATTGAAAGAAGTAAAACGCATTATAATTTTCAAAACGAACGTTGTTTTTATAAATTCAGCATACTGTAGATCGCCTGTAAAATGATACTACTACAAATATGGTTTCAATAATGCAAGAGATTTAACTTGCTTCTCAATTTTTCTTAAAAACTGTAGTGTAATTCAAATATAAATATTATAATATATTTAGGAATATAAAAATTTTCCAAAATATTCTACTGAATTACATTTTTTTAAAATAATGAATAATTAACTTTTCATTGCCTATGCAGTGCTGCTACAGCTCCAATACTATATACTGATTGTAATAAATTAAAAATTGGTTAAATCATTGGACATTTAAGAGAATTAAAGCGACAAGACAATTAAAGAGACCAAAATTTTTTTGTATCAACATACGCACTCCATCAAATAGTACAGCTTTTTTAAGATCCTTTTTCGTTTCAATATAATTGTATAATTATTACTGTACTGTTGTAAGTTTTCTAACAGTAAAAATTTGGATATAAAAACTCATAATTTCTAGATTATACGTGAATAGTATTATATAATCATACATGATGTCAGTATTTCATTTATATTTTGTATTTATATATTGTACCAGTGATAATTATTTAAATATAATAAATTTCGTTAATCTCGTTTCTGGAAAACTTATATAACAAAATGGAAATTTGCGAAAATAGTCGCGATCTAATAATTAATTAGAATAATTCCTTATATTCAAATATTCTTGTCTTTTTTACCATGGGTGTTCAGAATGATCAATTGTTTTTGTCATTTACATCGTGACATTTATTGAATATCCGTAAAGCGTCTGAATGTTTTACTATCGACTATTTAAAAGTATTGAAACCAATGGCACTCTGTAGAACTATAGAATTGAGTACGCATCGGAACTCTATTTCGAAGGGACGTCTGCTACACAAAGAATAAACGAATACTGATGTCTGCAACTCAAACCGTACATCGGCACAATTCTGACAAATGGTACCCAATTCGCAGATCCTTGGCACTGCAACCTCTCTACGTGAAACTAATTTCGTGAAGCTGGCCATTTCTCAGTGTAATCTTGCAGTGACTAGAGAAATCGGTTGAGGAGATTCATACACGCGGAGCCCCCGGTCAGCTTAGCGAAAGTAAATCCAGCTTTGCTTTAATTTTTCGACGGTTAATGCCGTTTGATGTCGACTCCCAACCGAGAATATTTGCAGCTTCCTAGTGAACTAGGAGATTTTTTACGGACTTTCATACATGAAATCCTGTCGAAAATAGATTATCTACTTTTATCTATCACTCTCAGCTTTCTGATGTGTCTGTTAAGGATACTTTGAAGCGCACTCCAAGAATAATCCACGAATTTCATTTTTCAAACGTAAATTTAGAGATTTTATTACTTGATAACAAAAATATCAAGAAGTCAGTATGAATTTAGAGATTTTATAATTCTCCGTTAAAAATTTAAACGAATAAATTAATAAAAAGTAATTTGTATTTTGGAAATTGCATACCAAATTTAGAAAAAGAAAGAGTTTCTTTATAGTAGCTAACAATAATCTTTTTTATTTGTAAACGATCGTTTAACCTTACTTATAAACAAAAGTATACTTCATTATATGCACATTTACATAAAATACATTCAGCAAAGTTAATTGAGTATGTCTTTAACGAGCTTTGTTTTAAACTTATAGTATTAATAAATTTGAAATTTAAGTGGGATATTATGTAGTAGTGAAAATGTTGTGTAGAATTTTTTATTGCGGTTTTTGCTACCAATCTTTACAAATATTTGTCAGCGTTTTTAAACAATGTTTCCTCTGTTCTTTTGTTACAGTTTTACTTCATTAATTTTAAAATTCATTTACAAGATCCAAACGTTAAAAAGAGAATTTATAAAAGAATAATAAATACGCGTACGAGTAGAAATTGCAGTTATGTGAAAATAAAATCCATTGTCATAATATAAATTTCCAGTGAATTGTTGTAGGAAATAAGCTTGAAAAAGCACGTACCGTACTGGGTAATACGATTTCATTGGAGAATGCAACTGTAACATATTTACGCCTTGTACGAGTTATTCGTTGCAGCCATGGAATCATTACATACTAAATCAGATTCAATATAGAATCAATATTAACTTTAATTAAAAATCAATGGATACAGGATAACAAATACAAAATTAATATGTGAGGAGTCAACGATAAATGTTCACCGTTCCAATAATTTTGTATTCTCGAATTATGTAACTAAATATTAACTGCAATGTAAATCGCATTTAAAATATATAAAAATAATCTAAGAAAAGAACAAATATTCGAATGAAAACTTCTAAAGTAATTATATTTTAATTAAAAAAATATGAAATAATTCGCATTATACTAAATTATTTTGAAATTACTTTGCGCATTCTCAGATGTGAATGTGTTTTCTGTAATTCTATTTCACCAACTCGAAAAGCAAAGTTTATTTTTGACGTGATTTTAGAAGTAAGCTCTCAGTTCAATAATTCAGAACAGGAAAAACTTCAGTTTTCCGAGAGAAGCTGCAGTATTTCAAATTCTCAAACTACAAATTTAATAACAACCAACCTCAGAATCAATATCAAGCTATTTCAAATAACTAAACTAAATAATTTAATTAACCTATATTATGATAACTTTTGTTCACTAATCTCAAAGATTTAATGACTCATTCAAGATTTAATGATTCACAAGCTACTAAATATGTTGTATGGGATTAAAAGCATGACATTCCATACAAACTATTCTTGCAGAATTGTATTAAATCAAATTTTGAATTTCTCAGTTATCCCATTTTCATGTTTTATATCATTTACAATTTGATATAAAAATTCCAAAATATGAAACTCGAAGTGAATGAAATTAGTAAGATACGTTTATATACATCTTTGGTTCTTGTTTAGTATTAAACTCTACGAAAAGTTGCCATTGCAAATTTTTCTGCTGCGCACGGTAATGTATTGATGGTACGCGTCGCAATATTTATATTGTGACAAAAGACAAACAATATTCTGTCAAATAACTGACAAATATTATTAACGATTAGAGTATTATAAAGCAAAATTGCAGAAGTCAGGATATGTTAATCAGATTTGAAAAATTACTTTTTGTTTTTATAAGCAAACATACATAAATATAAGACACATAAATTGTACCAAATTTAAGTTCTAAATTAAATACCTTTTCAAAATACGTTACATTTTTTAATAAATAGGAAATTTACTGATGTATTATAAGATTCTTTTCGAAATATAAATTGAACAGCTTAAAGAATTCTTTACACTTATATAGATTTCAATGGATACTTAGTAAATTGAAAGTAAATTATTTTTGTTTATTACTTAGAAAACGTATTGAATTAAAATAGAAAGAATCTTATTGTATTGTAATATGTATTCTAAAACGTTTATGAATAAAACTGAAACTATTAATGTTTCTATTTCATGAATTTCTAAAATAATACCTTACGCAATATTATAGAAGTAGAAATAATTCCTAAAATCTCTAAATTGTGATA